GGGTGATTTCTCACTTTCTCTCTCTGGTGAGCTTACACGCTCTGACAAAATCCTAAAACATATACATATATATAGATACACAAATACATACATATATGTATATATATGTATATATACACACACACACACACACACATACATATATATAGACAGAGAGAGAGAGAGAGAGAGAGAGAGAGCAAGGGAAGGGCACTCATTCATTCCTCTAACTGTGCCTGTGACCCGCAGTGTCACCCAGGCATCCGCAGTCCCCAGCCCAGTGCAGACAAGGGCTGCCCAGGGCACCGGATCCAGGCAGGCTGCCTGGAGGTCAATCTGGCTGTGAGGTGGGCTTGTGTTCTATACTGGAGCCTCCACTCCTCCTGCCATGGTACGGGTCATTCAAGCGCTACTGCCCAGAGTGGACTGGGGCTAAGGGAGGGCACGGAAACCCCAGCTTGGCAGAGTCCACCTGGGACAGACACACTGTGTTCTAGGGTCTCCAGATGTTCTAGCAACACCTTCTTGAAAGAGCACTCCCGTCTGTCCTCCCCACAGTGAGCTTGAAGGCCCAGTTTGTGTTCTGTCACAGTCACTGGGTGACTCCTCTGTCATTTCACAATAACAAGCCCTGCTTGAGCCCTGGCCATGACAGGCCACCCCCACCCTGGGCCTGTCCTGAAGCTGCACCTGTGGCAGACGGGCTATATCCCATGGTGCCCTTGCTGGAGCAGAGACCAGCAAGCTGGGGTGGACACTGAATCGCACTGACCTTGTTCTGCCCAGGCTCCGCACGCAGTTCGCCCTCACCCCACAGCCCTCAGGTCCACACAGAGTCACATTTTGATTCTCTGGGAATATCTCATAAGAGTGCTCGAAGTCTCCAACTTTGGAGCTGCATGCAGGAAGAGCATCTCCAGTGAGTCCTGAAGACATCCTGGGAGGCTGCAGAACAAACACCAATCAGAAGGTCCATCTCCAAGCCCGCCCTGCACTCAGCCTTGGCATGAGCAGGCTCAGTGCCTATTCTGCAGCGTGGTGCCCTGTGTCCCCCTGCAGGATGGCCCGGCTTCCTGCCTTGCAGTCTCAGAGCTCCAGGATCAAGGCTCTACCCATGGAGGCTGATAATGAGACGGCCACCAGTCTGGGGCTTGGACAGTTGAGAGGCTCTCCCGTTACAGGTGACGGCGGTACAACGTCTTAGTGCACCCTCCCCCTTAGAATAGGCTACGTGGGGACAAGCAGTTAGCGTAATGGCTATGTCGCTGGACTTCCATGTAGTATACTAGGGTTCGAGTCCCGGACCCCGTGGCTTAAAACTCACGCCAGGCACATGTGCATGCATGCCCAAGATCCCGAGAGGAGAATGGAGGAGAAGGGATTGTGGTGTGGCCATCCCCCCTGGGGGGGGATTTCTCGCTTTCTATCTCTCTGTCTGTCTCTGTCTGTCTGGCGAGCGCACACGCCCTAT